ATTAGAATTGTGTTTGGACATGAATACAATTTTGAGCTGTTTTTGAATTTTTGTGAGTGAACTGAATTGAAAGTTTTGAAAAACAGTTTTTTGGAGTTTTTTTATAATTTCAAAAAATTTCAAAAATTCATCTTCAAGTGAAAAAATTAAAAATTTTATGGCCAAATACTGAATTTTTCGAAAAAAGTGAAGTGAATTTTTCGAGAAAAGTGAATTTTTTTTGTGGCCAAACGGCCCCTAAGTTGAATGGTTGGGAGATTTTTTTTGCTAGTTAGTTTTTTTTTTCCTTCACTTTTTATTCAAGGTGGGGGTTGGGTTAGCTTGCATGGACCTATACTATTCCACTTGGTACTGCTATCTCCCGGTGTCGCGGCGCAGATGCTCCGGTACAGTGTATTTTGTCTCTCCTCGGATTTGTGAGTTGGCAATTTTACATTCTCTCTTTGAAAAAGAAGAAGGAATTCTAGGCTAGATAGTACCATTTTTGGTTAATTGGTATAAAGGTATTTGTTCATTGAGCCGAGGATCTATCGAAAACAGTTTCTCAACTTTTCTAAGATAGGGGTGGGGTAAGTATATGTGCACATAGGTACTTTCCTAAGGTAGGGGTGGGATAAGGTATGTGTGCACACCGGGACTATCGGAAATAACTTCTCTACTTTCCTAAAGTAAGGGGTAAGGTCTGCGTGCACACTACACTCAAACAAACGAGAGACACGGAATAAAAATGTTAATTTTGTACTCTTTGAGATCTTCTTTGAGTAACTCTATTTCTACTTGCCACAAAAGACTTATCTATTCTCTCTCTTCAGCTCTGTAAAGGCATATACACGAGTGTATAACAACCATATGTGGCACAGATTTTAATAAAATCTTCTGTGATATGATTTACTCCTGAGCCGAGTTTCTATTGGAAACAGCCTCTCTATCGATATTACTGGATATGTTGTTTTTGTGGTGGTCTGTGATATGATTTCCTCTAGAGGTGGATGTGAGAAGTGATTTATAACTAGAAAATTAATGCTCTGCAGTAGTGCTGTACTTTTTAATTGCTGTTGCTGTCTAGTTTAATTGGCTGGTTGGCGGATGTTATTAATGGTTTACCTTTTAATTAATAGAATGAAGGTCCAATGGTCCTAGCTTAAAGTCAATAACCGTCATTATTGTTGAGTTGCACCAGCCTATTTTTTCTTCTTTAATTAGTTGTATAGTAGATGTTATCACATCACTGTTGCATTGTTTTGAATTTGAAGGAACTGGAATGAGTACAATAACGTGTAGTAATGGAAGTTACATATAGAAGTTATTTCAGAAAAAGCAAACTCTAATTGTAATTATAGAAACTTAATCAAGTTACTAAATAGTCTTAAAATAGTCGCTAGTTGTTGTATTTTGACTGGTTGAGAGATCTGAGTATGTTTTAGAAATTGCTTAATCTAATGATATGTTGAATTTGATAAAAATAGCAATTATTGGCCTACAGCTAGTGTGAAAGTTTGGTGAGATGTCAACTGAGTTTATGCATGTGTTTTTTTTTTTTTTTTTTTGGAGGAAACTCTTACTAATCTACTTCTTGTCAAGTTGTTTAGATGTGGACACTGGTCTAATATCCTTTAGGCATTAGGTACAATCTACTTCTAGTTCAAGTGATGAAAAATGAATGGTTGACTCCATCTTTTTGTTGTCAATTTTCTTGTGTATGTGTGTATATGCAAACACATTACCTAATATACAAATGATGAAACATTCCTTTCCCATGAAAAAGTTTCAATTCATTCAGGTTTTCCCCATCCGGTATAAGTGGTTTGCTGTCTGATTATCAGTTATTCAATATTTTGTTGTACCTTCGTGTTCGAGCAGTGGTGCGTCTACATCACTCCCCTTGGATCCCGCATGAATGCGGGATGACTTGTGCACCGGGCTGCCCTTTGGTTTAGGCACTCTGCACTTGGCTATAATCTACATATTTGCTGATCTTTGCAACCTTAGTTATATGGTCCATGAAAATTTGTGGTGATAATGACTTTGATTTGGGCATTTATTAGGAATAGCTGTAATGTGCTGTATTAGGATTGTGTGTCTGTGCATAATGTGACTCTTTTGATGTATTAGCCTTCTTTATATTTCTGTATTTGAGTTATAATGAGTGGCAATTTCTGGCCTCACATTTCTGTTTTGGAATTTTATGTGGACCCTAGCTGCTATAGACCTCATGTTTCTGTCAGAAGATTGAATTGTTGATTTGGTACTTCTTCTCTGCCAATGATAGTTTGATCTCTAAATTAAGACCTTTCATGTCTGATTTGGTTCTTGACTTTATTGATTGTGGGGTGGATAGATTAAGGGACCACACTTCTTTTGGTCAGTGATGTTTTAGTCTAGTTTTTTCAGATGTTTAATTATTCTTTGATTCATTTTTCTGTTTACTTATTGATTTTCTTATATCAAGATAATAGTCGACGAACTCTCAAGTGAAGCAAGAGTAATGTACATTTTTACAGGTTTGGGATTGACGAGGCAAGGAAGCGAAAATGGGAGCTGGTGGTAATATGTCTGTTGTAACCGGCAAGACTGGCGAAAAGAAGAATCCTCTTGAAAAGGTACCAACCTCAAAGCCACCTTTCACAGTTGGTGATATCAAGAAGGCCATCCCACCTCACTGCTTTCAGCGGTCTCTCGTTCGTTCATTCTCCTATGTTGTGTATGACCTTATACTGGTGTCCGTCTTCTACTACATTGCCATCACTTACTTCCACCTCCTCCCGTCCCCGTATTGCTACCTTGCATGGCCTATTTACTGGATTTGTCAGGGATGCGTTTGCACTGGTATTTGGGTCATTGCGCACGAATGTGGCCACCATGCCTTTAGTGACTACCAGTGGGTCGATGACACTGTCGGGCTTATCCTCCACTCTGCTCTGATGGTGCCTTACTTCTCTTGGAAATATAGTCATCGTCGCCACCACTCCAACACTGGCTCGCTCGAGCGTGATGAGGTCTTTGTGCCTAAGCCGAAATCACAACTCGGATGGTATTCGAAGTACTTGAACAATCCACCAGGCCGGGTTATGTCACTTACAGTCACCCTCACTCTTGGCTGGCCATTGTACTTGGCTTTCAATGTCTCTGGCCGACATTATGATCGCTTCGCATGTCATTATGACCCTTACGGCCCAATCTACAATGACCGCGAGAGGCTACAGATCTTCCTTTCTGATGCTGGAGTTCTTGGAGCAGGTTATCTGCTATATCGTATTGCTTTGGTAAAAGGGCTAGCTTGGCTTGTGTGTATGTATGGTGTACCCCTCCTAATCGTGAACGGCTTCCTTGTCTTGATCACTTACTTGCAGCACACTCACCCGTCATTGCCTCACTACGATTCATCCGAGTGGGATTGGCTAAGGGGAGCTTTGGCAACCGTCGACAGAGACTATGGCATTCTAAACAAGGTCTTCCACAACATCACCGATACTCACGTCGTGCACCATCTGTTCTCGACAATGCCACACTACAACGCGATGGAGGCAACGAAGGCAGTCAAGCCATTACTCGGAGACTACTACCAATTTGATGGAACCCCAGTTTTCAAAGCAATGTGGAGAGAAGCTAAAGAGTGTATCTATGTGGAGAAAGATGAAGCATCTCAAGGCAAAGGTGTTTTCTGGTACAAAAACAAACTCTGAACTTGAGAAAAGAACTGCTTGCTTTGAATTTGGAATTGGTCTTTGGTAATGTTTGGTCTCTGTCTAAGTAAGTATTCTGAATTTAAGTTAATATTAGCTAGTGTTTTGTACTTGTTAGTAAGGGAGGTTTATGTTTGATGAAACTGGGATAAAAAATAGAGGAACAAAATGCATCCTCCATCTCCCTTTAGTGTGTAACCTTTATGTAATGAACTACCAGTTCTAAATTATGTCTTTGTGAAGACTAAAATGAGCTGTCTAAATGGTACTGAATTTTTGTGTGTGTCTATATTTAGTAAAGTTTTTTTTTTCTTTTCTCAGTTTGAACTTTGAAACAGAATTCTGCAATTTCATATTTTACTAGTATTTCAAAATGTGCAATGGGATTATAACAGGTTGAAAAGATCTATGATCTTCCATTAGTATTTGGTTATATGACAATGCTAATAGACATTTCTAGTGGGCTTGTTTTTTTAAAAAATTGACAATATGTACAAACTGGGTAGTTTAATAAGAATGGGGCTATTTTTAAAAGTGGGCTAGCTTTTAAATTCGAATAAATGACATCAACAGTTGGATTCATGACCATATGCTTTATCAAAATGGTCATCATTCTTCTGATAGCAGCCCGCTAAATCCAAACGGTTGGGGCGGTTCGGATATGGACGGTCAAATGAGTTAACCGATGAATAATATGAGTATGATTTTATTTTTGATGTGATTACTTTTTCTATAATTTCTAGCATCTCAAATTTAAGGAATCCTATTTTGAGTTTTGCAAATGTAAAAATTAAACCAATTAATTATCCATTATGTATTAATTTATTAAGTGGATAATATGGATCCTAGCCATATTTCACCCATTTTTCAAAGTTCACTATCTAACTCATTTTTTAGTTGATAAAACTGATGGAACTTAATTTTTATCATTTTGTCACCATTAATTCTATCCATGAAGGATGGGCTTAAATTCAACTTGAATCGTCGCGATTTTGGTGCTAAATCGAAGTGAATTTAGAATTTAGAATTAGTTCAACATGCTCAGTTTGATCTTATTATTATATGTTTATGTTTTTTTTTTCATATGTAACATAGTTTAAGGCAAATGCAATATATTCAGTTGAACACAAAAACTGCTCTAAATCCGCGGCAGCTAGCACAGAGTTAGCCGATGCTTATAGTTAACTTTTACCGAAAAAAATTAATATTCAAAAAAATAAAATATAGTAAGATATATTCCAAATTTGACTGTAAATCATGATTTTTCCAAATAGAATTAGATCAACATTCTAAGGAATCAGGAAAAAATAAACAAGATTTGACGAACGGACACTACAAGATGAGAGATTTTATGTATTATAATATTTTTATCATTAGTACTAATTAGGATTTTTGACAGATATGCCAAATTATTGCTGAAACCCAAGGAAGACTTAAAACATTACATAGAGACTTTCAACATAAAGGATAATTAATAGCAAATCATCTACTAATACATGATCTGGAATTAAACATTAAAACTTTATTTTTACTTTTCCTCCTCCTCCTCCTTGGACATCTTAATCACCTGAAATTAATTAACATAATGCTGCATTAGGCACTGTATATATTCTTAAACTAAGAACTACTTCACCAATTAGAAAAATAAAAGAAAACAATGAACTGTTTGAAATGCAAAAGCTCACAATTTGTGTATGTGTTTTAGAAAACTAGTTTTTTATCCCAATTAATGTTCGAAGAAGACGTACAATCATTTATCACTCATTTATGGAAAAAGTAAGGGTAATTTAGTCAAATTCACTTCATGATTAATGCTATTAAAAATGTGTCAAAATCTTAAACGACATATAAAAATATAAAAATGATAGAAGGGTTTTTTAACTTACTTGAACACCCTTGCAAGGGCTATCAACATCACAATAAGCTTCAAGAGTGATTAACACTTGATTATCCAAATCCTCTGCATATTTATAGCAAGGGCAACTAGTTCCAAGTATGCTCTTGAATGTTGGGCAGCATTCATCAATTTTAGGTGTGTTGAACATGCACTTCTTAACCTTTGCTTGGTCACTAGCCGAGCAGCTCGAACTCGGGGCGGGAGGGGGTGGGGATGGTGGTGGAGGTGGTGGAGGAGATGGTCGTGGTCGTGGTTGTGGTGGCGGAGGAGGGCTAGGGCATGGTCGTGGCCGTGGTGGTGGAGGAGGGCTAGGGCATGGTCGTGGACGTGGACGTGGACGTGGTCGTGGAGGAGGGCATGGCCATGGCGGTGGTGGTGGCCACGGAAATGGCCATGTCAGATAACAGGGAATTTCCCATGGCCAAAGCAGTTGTAACTCATTCCTGTCATCTGCCACAACCACTTCTCTCGCCGTGGCCACTTGTTGGTGGCTACAAAACAAAATTGCAGCCACCATTAACATCATGAGCATATTGTTCATGGCTGCCATTTTTCACTGAATGGTTTGTATTATACAGTGAAGAGATATGAGCTATCTATATATAGACATTATTAGACTTGCTATGAAAGTAGGATTTGAGTAAATTAGTTAGCTGTGATATTCTGCTCCCTTTAGTTAGTAAATGAGTGACTGTATTATGACATATATCACATGAAAACAAGTTGCATCCGTTCATTTCAAAATGGGCCAGTTACCAGTACATTTGGATAATGTTTGATAGTTTTATTATTACACAAATAGCCGGTCAAATTTATTGTTTATTTTTTCTAGTCGGTATATATAAATTATATATTGATTATGCACAGTTATACATATATTATACGTGAATATATATATACATATACATCCGCTAGCTATTTTTAGTTTAACAGATTAGGTGGACGGTTATTTGGGTCCATTATATTTTTATGTTGCATTCTACTTGCATGAAGTTTGAATATATTAGAAAATATAAAAATAATAATTGAAATTTTAGTCACATTTGAATTTGTGCTCTTTAGTTGTAGAAGTTATATACAAATAAAATAATGTCAAATAGTTTAGACAAATTTGAAATGAAAAGATTTATGTATAACGTAAAATGGACACCATGAGCTAATTAAATTATCCTAACGAAGTCAGTAAAAATTAAACTAGCTCGTAAAATAAAACGGATACCATGAAAAAGTTGTTTTTCTCAACTTTTCAAACAACAAAACAACAAAATTCAAATAAGAATAAATTGCATTGTTTATTAAGTAGTATTAAAATAAATATTTAATAGTTTAATCATTATGAGGTTATAAAGAAATTTGACGTTACTATTTGCTTCACTTAAATATCTAATAATTTAAACATTCTCTGCTTCCCTATTGAGCATAACTACTTAACTAGGATACTCAACTAATCACATTCCATACGCAGATAAGTACGAGTATATTTCATTCTAATAGTTTGCATTTTTTTCACTTAGCGCCTCTAATTAATTAAATTGAACTTAAATATATAGATAGTTAAATGATTTTTTTGTTTTTGTAGTAATATAATTTATTTCTGTTTAATAAGTACTAGTATATCTTATTTTCAGTAACTAATTTTACTTATTATGAGCAATTAGTTATATCCCTTCCGTTTACTTTTACTTGTCCACTATACTAAAAATGCATTTTTACTTTTATTTGTCACTATATTAAATAAAGAGAAAGATGTTGAGCTTCTGCCATGAATGCTTCTGTGAAAGCTTCACACGACTGAGAAGAAACAGAGAAGAAAGGAGAGGAAATGAACTTTCAGTATTATGTTGAAATAATACACTGTACATGTATTTATATACTGTATAACCGACCTAACCATTTCTAATTAGTTAATTAACAACTACTTCTAACTAATCCTTCAACGGCAAGGATTCAGTTGTCACTCTACTCGCGTGACACCTTCAACACTCCCCCTCAAGCTATGTAATGTAAACAGGTTGAACATTTCCAGCTTGGATAACAAAACTTCATGTTGTGCCTTCCCTAGCCCTTTGGTTAAGATATCAGCCAGCTGCAAGTTTGTGGGCACATGTTCTGTACATATAAGGTCTTCTTGAATCTTCTCCCTAGTAAAATGACAAACAACCTCTATGTGTTTCGTTCGCTCATGGTATATAGGATTAGCAGCAATTTGAAGTGTTGCCTTGCTATCACAAAACAGTTTCACTGGCAGCTTCAGTTACATTCCCAGTTCTTCATATAGTCCAGTAAGCCATACTATTTCTATAATTGCATTTGCCATGCTCCTATATTCAGCCTCTGCAGAGCTCCTAGATACTGTGTTTTGCTTCTTCGATTACCAGAAAATCAAGAAGTCTCCTATCTTGACCATAAAACCACCTACTGATCTCCTTGTCATAGAGCAAGTTGCCCAATCTGCATCACAATAAACTGTAAGCTCTGATGATGGTTTGGATGACAATAGTATTCCCAATCCAGGTGCATTCTTCAGACACCTCACCACCCTTAGAGCCCCTTCCATATGTGACTTCTTTGGCCTGTGCATAAATTGACTCAAGTTCTATACTGTGTAGCTTATATCCGGTCGAGTCATAGTTAGATAAAGCAACTTTTCCACTAGCTATCACGACCCAAAATCTCACCCGTCGTGATGGTGCCTATCTCAATACTAGGCAAGCCGAAAATCTCAATAAACCACAATTTCTCTTAAGTTTGAAAATATAATATTTCAATAAAATCCACAAATCTTATAATTACCGATACAACCACTCCCAAAACCTGGTGTCACTGAGTACATGAGCATCTAATATGAATACAAATCTAGAAAATACGGTCCATAACAGTCTGAGACCAAATACTGTAAATAAGGAGATAAGGAAGGAGAGGCAAGATCTGTGAAATACGGCAGCTACCTCAGAATCTCCTTAAAATCAGCTGTGCGAGAGAATCAACACCCGCTATAACCGGGAATACCTGGATCTGCACACGAAGTGCAGGGTGTAGTATGAGTATGTTACACCCTGTACGTCCGAAGGTGACGTATAATGAATATGAGACTTGTTAGTCTTAATTTAAATGCGTTTAATATCATAATATGACTATATATGATGGTTGGACAAAATACATAAAGTTTGGAAAAATTGGATTAAAGTTGCAAAAAAACCGACTAAGAATTTGCCCTATAATAGAGCTTTTTGAGAAATAAATTTCGTATGCTATATGAGGTCTTTTTGGGACATATTATATACCAAATTGAAGGTCTTGGAATTTAGTTTCCAATGTTTTTAACCGTTTATTTATACGATATCCGGATAAAATGATATAAGTATCGGAAGATGGGCGAATCAGAGGGTGCCAAGCTAGCACCTTTTGACTTTTCAAAAGTTAATACATTTTCTTTAACTCAGCTCTCTCTCTCTCTCTCTCTCTCTTCATTTTTACATAGCATATGACCAGAGGACACCATAAACGGTCCTTGAGCTCTCTAATATTACTTCAAACAAGACTATCATCTGGATACGAAATCAAGAAGCAGATAACATTAAAACGATCCCTACGACGTAAGTATTGCTATATCGCCTCTTTTTTCTTTGTAGTTTGAGTTTTGAAATGTATTTAATAGTTAATTAAAATTCCTAATTTCTGTATTTAACCTTTAAAATATCAAAAAAAGTTGATAAATTCGTTTCCTAATAGTTAGACCTCACAAAACGGTGATCGGAAGCCAGAAGTTCGAGTTATTTAATTTGTAGTGGACTGTTTTGTGGGCTGTTTTGTGTTGATTTTGGGCTGTCTATTGTGTTGCTGATTTATGGAATTTGGAAGGATAAAAATGGTGTGTAGAATGCCACATGTGGTATGGTAGTAGGTTGGTCGCTCGTCGTTGTAGTTGCAAGCTAATTGATAATTTGTTGATTGGGTGTATTATAGTATATTTGGGGGTTTTGTTGTATTGAAGGTCCCGGATTGTAATTAGGTTGGTTTTGAGTTGCTGATTGTATTATGTTTGTATCTCGCCTATAGTAGTCTTGAGGGAGCAATAAAATCAGGGGAAATGCTGCCTGTTTTATTTTAGAATCGAGTTATCGTTTGAGATACGTAATATACTACCGCCATCTAAATTGTACACGTATTTCTTTGCTATAGGGTTGGCGCTCTAGTTATCATAAGCTTGTTGTTGAGTTGCATTGACGACTTGAGATATGTTATGGCTATCCTTTTTTTCTTTTGGCATGATCCAAATGATACAAACGAAACGAGCAAAATACGCAACGTTCATAAATGACTCTATTCATAGAAATACTAGAGGTGTCTATATTCTTGATCCCATATAAATTATTATTATATCCTCCATTCATGGGTCTCAGAAAAATACGTATTTGATAAAGTTCGTCCGAAAGGCATATTGATTTTATGATATTCGAGAAATCTTATTAACATATTTCTATTGCATTTCATGCATTTATACATGTACATTGACCCATGACCAGAAGGCGTTATATACGCGTATATTATATGTATATGGGATATGGAAAAAAGTTAAGGCGTTATATACGCACCACCACCTGATCAGCTGGTATATGTTGATGATTTTGCCCACAGTGGCCGAGATGATATAATGGGATGCCCTCAGAGGCTTGATGATGATATGTGCACCTATACCTATGCATGATACGACATTTACACGCACGTGCATGATATTATAAATGTTTTAGGATTCACAAAATTATTTAGACTCACAGGTAGAACTCTTCACCCCATGTTTCATCTATGTCTTTTATGTACTAATTTTCATGCTTTACATGCTCAGTACATTATTCGTACTAACGTCCCTTTTTGCCTGGGGACGCTGCCTTTCATGCCCACAGGTGCAGGCAGACAAGCTGACGGTCCCCCTTCTTAGGATCCTTGATCAGCGAGAGTTGGTGTGCTTCATTTGATCCGG